CCCAGTAAGTTTTTAGATGACTTCCACTTACAATAAGCATGTAACAGTTAACTCAGGCAAAAGCAAAGCCTGCAACATCTTCCCATGACCTAAAGTAAAACCTGATCCAGATGAAATTTAAGCTTATTTTCAATGGGCAGTCATCCAGACCACAAAAACTACTACCATTCACAGACTGCTGCTGAGCAGCTTGAGTGTTCAAGGTTTTAAAATTTCATAACATTTACCATTTACATAAAACAACTTACAGAGTATAGTCAATGTAGAACTCTACACTAATACAGCATTAAATTTAAGATGTCGAAGCTTACAGGGATCAAAGATTAGGGTTAAGGTTTCCAGAGCAACACGAAGTTCTGGCCTCTTTTGGCTGTATGTTATGATAAGGTACTCCTTCATATGATACCAGAGTATCAAAAAATGTGGCAGACTATTTAGCAAATGACACACAATGTTACTTATCTTATCACCACTTCTACAATCTGTGAAAATGTTTTCATTTGGAGATTCTATTATCAACAGTCTCTTAGGAGTAAGATGACATCTTGTGGGCATGTAAAATTCTTCTTTCTCCATATATACACTTGCGTATTTTCAAAAACTGACACCATGGCCTCCTACTTTCTGAAATACGGATAGATTTCATATTGGAACAAAAAAGATCCAATGGCTTGTTTTCCTTAAATTACACCTATGGAAATATTAATAACATTTACAAAATTTACATTCTGCATATGTCATTGCATTTAAAGCCTACATAGCAGAGAAATCTGTTTACATAGCAGAAGTTGAAATCCCAGCATGGTACAAAGCACCATGGATTTTCCTCAAGTATACACAACCAAATAAGCCTCTTAAGCAGACCTTGCAGTAGAACCAACAGGCATGTTGTAAACAACAAGGTTCAGACATAAGCCACTAGGTACGGCTTATCTCATGGAAAGAGAATGCCATTCAGCATATATTTACAGCTGCCCCATTTTGCCTACTTGAAAACAGGCACAGAGGGTAACCAAGCTAAATGATGGGAAATGATCCAATTATGCACAGATTGTCTCACGTTTTCAGCAGTGAAGATATTAATGGCATGCACGCATTCATTCATACAATTTATTCCCTGAATCATCTGCATAGATGAAATAATGGTCTGTCATGAGATGAAGATCTGTCTTGAAAGTGTGACCAAAACTTCACAATCAAGCATGATGGATTTCTGGGAGCTCTCCTGGTGGCCGTTTTGGAGAGTTCTTGAAATTGCCTTAGGAAACTCCTACTGTCCAGTTCAATCTATGCACTTCAAATGTTTTAAGTAGCATTCTTGGAGGAGTCTCTCCAACTTCCTGCTACAGAAACAACTGTGTATCATATTGGTGTTGCACAGTGCTGTGCTCTAATTATCAGGGTGAGAGAAGAGATTCTTAGAAATATCCAGGGTAAGACTGAAACATAATAGGAGTTAATAACTTAATATACTTAATAATAATAACTTAATAGGATGAGTTTCAACAAGGCCAAATGCCGGGTCCTGCACTTAGGCCACAACAACCCCAGGCGACGCTACAGGCTTGGGGCGGTGTGGCTGGAGGACTGCGTAGAGGAAATGGACCTGGGGGTATTGATTGATGCTCGGCTGAACATGAGCCGACAGTGTGCCCAGGTGGCCAAGAAGGCCAATGGCATCCTGGCTTGCATCAGAAACAGTGTTGCAAGCAGGAGCAGAGAGGTGATTGTTCCCCTGTATTCAGCACTGGTGAGGCCGCACCTCGAGTACTGTGTCCAGTTTTGGGCCCCTCACTGCAAGAAAGATATTGAGGCCCTGGAACGTGTTCAAAGGAGGGCAACAAAGCTGGTGAGGGGTCTGGAACACAGGACATATGAGGAGAGGCTGAAGGAGCTGGGAATGTTCAGCCTGGAGAAGAGGAGGCTCAGGGGAGACCTCATTGCTCTCTATAACTTCCTGAAGGGAGGTTGTAGTGAGCTGGGGGTCGGCCTCTTCTCTCGTGTCATTAGTGATAGGACCAGGGGGAATGGCTTCAAGCTACGGCAGGGGAGATTCAGGCTGGACATGAGGAAGTATTACTTTTCAGAAAGGGTGGTCAGGCACTGGAATGGACTGCCCAGGGAGGTGGTGGAATCACCGACTCTGGGGGTGTTCAAGGAAAGACTGGATGTTGTGTTGATGGACATGGTTTAGTAGGAGCTATTGGGAATAGGTGAACGGTTGGACTGGGTGATCTTTTAGGTCTTTTCCAACCTTGGTGATTCTATGATTCTATGATTCTATAAGTGAGGTAAAATGTTGTGTGATCAGTTAAAGTTATACAGAAAGGAAAGGTCAGCGATTACTACGAATTAGAATCACAAAATCACAGAATACCTGGATTGAAAAGGACCACAGTGACCATGTAATTTCAACCTCCCTTCTATGTGCAGGGTTGCCAACCACCAGACCAAGCTGCCCAGAGCCACATCCAGCCTGGCCGTGAATGCCTTCAGGGATGGGGCATCCACAACCTCCTTGAGCAACCTGTTCAATGTGTCACCACTCTCTGTGTGATATTCCTCCTACTATCTAACCTAAACCTCTCCTGTCTTAGTTTAAAATCATTTCCCTCTGTCCCATCACTATCCACTCTCATAAACAGTTGTACCGCCTTCTGTTTACACTTCAAGTACTGGAAGGCCACAACGACATATTCTGGGAACCTTCTCCAAGCTAAACAAACCTAGTTCTCTCAACCTTTCCTCACAGGAGAAGTGCTCCAGCCCTCTGATCATCTTAGTGGCCCTTCACTGGACCCACTCCAAGTGCTCTGTGTCTTTCTTGTTCTGAAGGCCTCAGGCCTGGACACAGTACTCTAGATGGGGCCTCACAAGAGCAGAGTAGAAAGGCACAATCACCACCTTCTCCCTCCAGGCCACTCCTCCTTTAATCAGACCAGAACACAGTTGGTCATCTGGGCTGCAAGCGCACACTTTTAGCTCACGTTCAGCTTCTCATCCACCAGGAACCCCAAGTCCTTCTCTGCCAGGCTGCTCCCTTCCCTCAATTTGTATAAATACCTAAGATTGCACCCTGCACTTTGCCTCACTGAAACTCATTAGGTTCTCATGGGCCCACTTCTCCAGCCTGTCCAGGTCCCTCTAGATGGTTTCCCTTCCCTCCAATGTATCAATTGCACTGCTCAGCTTGGTGTCATCTGCATGCTTGCTGAGGGTGCACTTGATGCCATCGCCTATGTCACTGATAAACATGTTGAAGACCAGTGGTCCCAGGTCCGACCCCTCAGGGCCTCCACCCCGACTACAGAACCATTAACCACAACCCTTTGGCTGCATCCAACCAACCAATTCTTAATCGACCGAATAGTCCATCCTTCAAATCCATAGCTCTCCAATTTAGAGAAAGAGGGCAAACACAAAAGATAGGAAAGGAGCAAGAATTACATAAAGCATGGATAGTCATGGGGGAATCAAATGTTGTTTCTGCATTAGAATCGGATAATATAGTCAGTTCTTTTTTGGGAGTCTTTCTATTTTACTCGGAGGGGGTCTCTGATAGTTTACATCACTTATCCTCTAGACGAACCTTCCCCAGGAACGCACACTCTGTATGTAGGTGTATATATGTGTATTTTGCCATACACACTGCAGGAATATCCTGCACAAGATCAAACCAGAGAACCAGTCATGGCCTGCCCGAGGAAGTGCTTGAAGAGACATCGGAAGGCCTGGCATCACCTCTGCCCTGCCCCTCCCCAGTGCTCTTTAACAAAGACTTTGAAGAAAGTCACTGTATCAATATGACAAGAGCACTGAGATATCTTAGAAACAACAGGATGGCTGCTGACTGACACCAGATAACACACCAATTAACAAACGTAAACTTTGACAAGATTATGAACCTGGAGTATCCAGCCAATGGGAAACAGGGGAGGGGGATGGGCAAAGGGGGAAACAAGGCACAAAAAGCTGTCATTGTGTCCTTAGGGTGCTCCTGCTTGCAAGACACCCACTATTGCTTTTATCAGAGATACTGTCCTGACAAAAATTATTTGGATATTTCCAACAGTTACCACCAAGAATCCAGCAGTGTCCCACTGTGCGCCATTCTGACAGTCCAACACCAGTGCAGGAATAAGGGCACAGGGGGAGGCGGCAGCAGAATGGCTGGTCTTAGGCAGCAAGCAGATAAACAGTAGGCAACCAACAGTGGGTCCAGGAGAAACAGGCAGGTGTCAGGTAGCAGGCCCTGGAGAATCATGCAGCAGGCAAGTATCACATCACAAAAAATCTGATATTAGGCACGTGCCTTTTTTAATCCTCTTCCTCCACCAGCAACGCATTCCTGGCACTTAGGTTAGAGTCACAGGGAGCACCTGTGGGCATGCAAGTCCTCTGGACAGTTATCTCTCACTAGATGTGGCCACAAAAGGCTGCTCACCTGCCATGTAGCAGCTGCCAAAGGTTGCTTTTCCCTCCAGGAATCCCTGGCCTGCAAGCGTTCAGACAGAAGATTTCTTGGACTTGTCAAGACTTGTCTGAACTTGTCCACCATGTCATCCAACAGCAAGCTTTGACTTGCTCTCTGCAAAGACGCAGAGATAGTCTCTTACACACAGCAAGAATTATAATTACATAATTGTACTACACATAACATTACTGACAGAACTTTTGACTAGTGGCAGAATCTGAAAGGAAGCTGAAGTACACTTTTAGAGTAGTATTTAGTGTCAACAGCAAAATGAGTTCAACAGATTAACTTCCTCAAAAAGTTAATTCATTATGCTTTTAAAAGCACAAGCCTGAGTTTAAATAAAATAAAGAATCAGTCTGCGATGCAGTCTGATTTTAACTGCACATCAGTTACCAGATATGCAATCAGATATCATATTTAAATAAATTATTTTATTTACAATTAAAATTTTTTTCAGTATGCAATGCTCACAAAAGGAAACATGATTCATTTGTGCTGAGCAAGAAATCACAGTTTTCAAGAATAACTCATATTTACTTTTTATTTTTGTCCCAGCCATATACTCTCATACCGAATAGTCACATGTATAAAAAATAGAGGCAACAGTGAGCATGAACGGCACTAAGTTGTTCTTGTAACTTGCTAGAAAACACGCATTTAAAAATATAAACATTTTTACTTGCATATAAAAATTATTAACACTAAAGTATGTCCAGACCACACCTTCCAGTAAAGACATAACAATAGTCTATATAAATCAATAAAAGAGAGGAAGCGTAATGACAGATGAAATTTGACATGTGGCATCATTTAATATGCTGGAGATTTCACACCAAGAGACACAGGTAACAAGCAAAAATTGGTCATCCACATTAATTAAGGTGAAGAACTCACTGGCATACAATACCAAAAAAAAATTGGAAGCTTCACAGCTCTATAGTCAAACTGATCAAAATCATGTTAACATAGATTCTGACAGGATGTGTAAAGGCAGGAAATGTGAGTGAAGGAGGAAAACCGCTCAGTACTATTGCCAACCGAGGAATATCAGCAGGAATAATAAGATCTAGAATTATCATCATTCAATAAAGCAAGTTTACTCAAAACATTTAAAAATAATTTTATCTCAATTTAGTTTGTCATAGCTTTGTAATGATATATATAGTACAGGCAACGTGAAATGTAAATTGAGGTTATTATAAATAGGAATTCATCACTTTGCCTTCAAATTTATAGAGGTATCATGTTTCACAGCATATTGCTGAAGTTGTATATATTTTCATCTTCATTTAACTAATAAAATAATTCTGGCACAACTCATGTAGAAAACTATCATTTTACTACGTTAAAAGATGTAGCAGAAGATGGTTCATCTGAATCATCTGAACTGTATTTTCTCCATAAAAAGTTTTCATTTTTTTTCCAAAGAGAATTTTCACACATTTCTCTCTTTTCTGTCACTGGTGGATGAGGTGCTCTTTCACATAGCTCCTCTATAACTGTCATATCTGTGAGCTTTCTGAGGCTCTCCTCATTCTGCTCATTCAGCATGTCCCAGAAATCTTTTGGTCTCTCCTTTGATTTTTCTATTTGCCCTGAAGGGATTCTCCGTGGTGATCCTGTAGTTTTTTCCCCACTATTTCTGAAGAGAACATTGAGAATAGAGGTATCTCCAAGTAAGTCAAGAGAAGACTTTTTGTCAGCCTTAGCTCTTCTCTCCCTGTTTTCTGACAGAGACAGGGATCTTTTTCTTGGCAGCCCTGCTACTTCTGGGTCCTGCTGTCCTTCAGAGCTTTTTACAGACAGCACCTCAATTATTTTCGATTTCCTGTTTAATGAACCAGATGCTATAAAATCCTTGAATGTCTGATTGTTACTCCTCTTAGTATGCTGAGTTGCAACAATGGGTGATTGTTTATGTTTCACATCAACACACATAGTATCTTGCAAGCATGAGTCACTGCAAAGTTGCTCTACTTCACAGCTTCGCTGGTTCTGCAGTTCTGTAGTTCCACTCGGAAGAAATTCTTTAGCTGATGAAGGTCCAGACTTGCATCTTCCAGAATTAATGACACATTTTCTTTTCCTTGATTTTCTTGCAGCCGCACCTCCTTCTTCAGAGTCATGCGTAACTTCTGCTGGTACTTCCATTGGAAACAAACACTCAACTTCTGGATGCTTTGAAATGTAAAATTCCCTCAGCAACTTCTGCCGGGATTCTGATGTAGCCTTTGCAATATGTTCTGCAAGTTCTTCCATTGATCCCATTTTAAAGTGGGATACAATTTCCTCAAATTGTCTCCTGTAAGTAATCAGAAAGGAAAATGTTTTATTCTGACATCACAAATTAGGAAAAAAGAAGCTTTTAAGCAATTCATTACACTGTTCTATTTCACATATCCCAAAAAGCAATCATTAAAAGTAACTTCCTTATTAGGAGCCATATTTGTTTTTATTAGTGAAGAAAGAATAATGACTGTAGAACAACTAATTCTGAAACCCAAAATCTCAAGTGATTTTCTGAGCTTATGTTCTGAAGACACATCAACTTTCAGTGTAGGTAAGATTACGTGCCAAAGGGCCAGAATTCAGAAGGTACTTATCTGCTGAAAGAATTTAGATAGAGAAACAGTAGAATTCTGGGGGGGAGGGGAAGACAGCAGAACAGTTGTTAAAACTCCTTAAAAAAAAAACTTGCTAAATAACAGTTTGGTGAATACCATCAGATGAGGCAGAAACTGTCCCTGCCATTCCTTCTAGTTAGCTGTAAGTACTTGCCTTGTGCTCAGAAGCCAGTGTCTAACTATAGATTACTCTAATCAAATTTAGCCATAGTCTGGGGTCAAGCTACTTAGCTGGAAGGCTGGAGGTGTGAGTTTATGCCTCCTTGTCAGATACAGTATATGAAATGCTACCTTTCCTGCAAGAGGGCTCCAGCAGGTTGAGGACAATGAGATGTAATCCTCCTTAATCCCAAATACTGCTTTAGTGATTGGCTCCCACTACCTTCTTTATGCACAACCTCTGTACACAGTTTCCCAATCAATCTTGCAACTACAGCAGACCAAGCTGAGGAATCCTGTCATCTTAATTCATTATACAGAGGATTTAAAAGTATTAAGAAATCTAGCAGCAAGCTAGGTAGTAACATCTGACTCACTTAACATTTAAGACAGAATGTATTAAAGCTAGACTTGACTTAGCATTTTCTAAGAAATTCCTTAGTCTTTTCACTGCCTTTGAAAATTGTATCTCAATAAGTTACTGATAACAATGATTACAGTTTTGAATCTTTTTAGCAGAAAGAGTTCTTCTCTTCTTACCTCTTACATGTTTAAAATTTTCAGTACCTAAATCAGTCTGACACTTTATCAGTAATGGTTTGGGTAACTATGATCAGTTGGCTAATAGGAAGTTGAACAATATTATCTGAATACCAACTATCATAAGGTAATTTTCTTGGCAAAAAGACAATTTAAAAATATATACATCTCAGTTCTATAGGTTAGCCTAATTAACAACAGTTTTTTCCTTTCTTTTTCTGCATATCACCTGGTTATTGTTATTGAATTTCTATGTATGTACCAATGGAAATTAAGCATTAGTATTATTAATAGCAACCGCATGGGGAAAAAGGAAAAGTGAGGAGACAGAAAAACTCTTAATTTTCCAAGGGATATTATTAAATCTTATAAACTTATTTAAAAAGTATCAAAAACCATTAAGCTCCACATTAAAAAAAATAATGTTTAATCTTTTTACAGTCTTTTAACGAAAGTGATGAAATCTAGACAAAACCAGTAAGCTGTCAGAGGCTGCCACTATAAAACTTTGTTGTTTCTATACTGTTTAAGCATTAGCTCGTTATATTGCATGGTGCATATCCCATGAATACTGTGGTGACGACATATGCACAGCAATGTGTGACAGATCAAATCAACAACTGACTTGTGGGTTAAATTCATTTTGTTAATCAATTATGTTTCTTTCTGTAAAGTTAGAGTGGAAGTTTCGTATTAGTTCTGCTTACGCCCCCCCCAAAAACCAAAAACATCAGAATTCTCTGGGGAAGGTAGAAATACAGAGAACATTAATTTTTCAAGCTTAGAATTTTACTTTATCTTCATCAAAGTAGTCTCACCTGCGGATTTCTTTGGGTGTTTTTCCAACCAAGAAGGTGACTGAGCCCACTCTGTGTACTTCAGTGTTTCTTTGGATCACTGGATGCAAAATGTACAGGTTATGTCGGTTACTGTTCGCCATAATTCCATGCTCTGTCTTCATAATGTTCTTCTCTGCTATCACTTCACCTGGCTTTTCTTTAGCTTTCTAGCAAAATAAGAAATGCAAACTGTCAAAACAGCTGTGTCTGAAAGGATGATTTTATGACTGCTCCTGTCTTCACACGGACTTTACAGTTTGTGCACTAAGACTGGGATTCAGAGATTCACTGAAAGCTCCCTACTATACTACATGCTTCCTTGGGACAGTGAAGGGAAGTCTTAGTTCCCTAAGAGTAAGGCCTTTTTTTTTTTTTCCAAATAAGTTATGAAAGATCATTACGTTCTCTAAAGCATTAACTAGTGTTACAAAAATAATCTCAGAAGCTCTGAATACTATTGTAAAATAGAAAAGAAGTATGCGTCTGTAACTTGCACTCCAAGTAGATACATTGTATCTTCCTGGATTTATTTAGCAAAGTCTAGGATTATTTAAATTCACCACTTTCTGCTTAGTAATGTGTGTTTCACAATTTGTGCACATTACATAATCATAACTAATTGTAGCAATTTAACACTCAAAGAAAAACTGTAACCACAACACTACCAAATGAATATCACTAATAATATAAGGTGTACTATTATGTGTAATCACATAAATAATCGTATTGGTATCAAAGTTAAGATAAGAACATTTTTGTTAATATTGAAACCTCTAACAAAAATAGTGAGAATTGCAAAGATACCTTGGAAAGCATTACCATGCTTGCCTGAAAATGAAGAGGAAACAATTACACATGGTACTTACACTATGCTATAGATAAGATTAAAAGATACAGTAGCAGTTACAATGATTCCTAAATGGAGAAAGTCTATCCTAATCATAATGGCCATTAAGAGAATTCAAGAAGTCTGTGTTACATATTGACCCATCATACACTGACAGCCAATTCAGAAACACCTAAATCCTTGTAACCATTTCTCCACTCCCCAAAAGGACTATAACAGTGGGGCAAAACAGATTTTTTTTTTTTCCTCCAATAAAAAGTCAAGCAAAAAAAAAAGAACTGCTTAGCAATATCCTCTGTCCCCCTACAGATACTGTCCAAAAGACGAAAAAACAGTGTTCACACCTTGTCACTTCCAGTTCAAAATTTGCTTTTGGATCTACGATGTTTCTTTGCAATGTGTCTCTATTTGATTCACACCCACTTCTTTTAATTCCATGGGCTGTTCTTCTGCTTTAGGGTCTCACAGCTGTTCTCAATCCATTACTTTGGCAAATAACCTCAAACTAGCATAGAGAAAGACATTAAAACTAAGGGACCTACAGGCATAAATTCTCTCTGTTTAAGCTATATGAACAATTCCAAACATCACAATTTAATTGCAATATTAAATTATAGTAAACAAAACTGAAACCAAGTCTCCCATTAAGATTAAAAAAAAAAAAAAAATGTTGATCTTCCAGTGATGCTCTGATAATAGCAACAAAATTAACACTGAAATGGCAGATATCATCTACAGCCTACATTCTATAGTTACCTCGTAATTCTGCACACTATATAAACAACTTAAAAAAAATATTTGGATAATATAGATAGCATTGAACAAAGCAATGTGAGTTTTAAAATAAATATATTTTGTTGGAATTATTTAATAAAAAGTATTTTAAGCATTCAGACTTCAGTGTAACAAGATCTAGTGTACTTGTCACTCTTTCAGGAAATCAGGATTGTATCACTTTACTGTAGAATACAACCCTAATCATGTCAATGTCTGCCTTAGAAGTATTTTAAACCCCCCAAAAAGTACATTCATCTGTCTCTTATTAAACAAGACCAAAATATATAAGAGAGCATTACTTCAGCTTATATATCTGTTCAAATGCAGAAACTAAAAAGCACTTTGAGAAAAAAAAAAAAAAAAAAAAGACGTTTTGTTAACACAATATTAGTAATAAAATTAGTTATCTTCTAAAGAATCAAAAATACTATAAAAGTCTTGCTAATTACCAATCACTTCACAAATAACATATTCAATTCTGGAAGTACAAAACTTAAGTAGAGTGAACAGCATTGCTAAACCTGAGAAAACAACATCAAAATACAACTATATATACACAGTTTCCTTTCTTCTACCCAAATTAGCTGCTCACAGATTTTTCATGAAGGTAGAGAAGGCAAGTAGGAATAAATCACCTGATACAAGTTACAAGTGAACAAGAGGTGCAATAGTTAATGCTAGCGGCTCCTGTATTTTTACTTTACTTTTTGAAAATCTTATCACAGCTCTCTAAAACAAAAGCCAGTTACTTAAATAGTGCACAGGCTTAAATACAAATGACTCCACTGAACTTGAAAATGTTCTTGAAGATTTGCCCGTTTTGAAGATACAGCCCCAACCACTGTTTTTTTTTTATTTTTAAAAGATCACTGAGATGTCTCAGTGGTATCTTAAAGGTCCAATCTGAAGTTTGTTATTCTGAATAATACATGGTTAAGGCTCTAAGTATAGTTTAGGTTTCTGTGCCTCTAGATGAAAAAAAATTGTTTCCTTCTCCTAGCACTGTTGCTAAAGAAGTGGAAACTTCCAACACAGCGCTGTTTTGCTTTTGTTTGAATATGACATCATGTATCACTTGTTAACTCTGCACTGATTCTTCCCACTCAGAAGGCACTTTTTTTCCTATATCTCTGTCAGTGCCTGCTTTCTAACTTACCAATCCTATTTTATGATGAAAACTACTTTAAAATAGCTTTTCTCTACCAACAATTCTTTCTCTACCATCAAACCATTGTGTCTTCTATTATAGCAAAGCTCTTAGACAAAATTCTATCAACATAATATTCAGATTCATAAGCCCTGGTCTTGAGCACCTGTACTGTCACATATGTCATACACCTTAAGCAACTTTGCCATGACTGAAATTAATGGAAGTGGACTCAGGTAGGAACCCCAGACAACTGTTCTTACATCACTAATGGTAATACATTTGGCAACATATTTATACTTTTGAATAAGAGACCCTTTATTAATTAAAAAGACCAGAAGAATCAAGTGAAAGAAACAGAAATCCTTTCCAAAGGAAGCATTCTGTGCATTAGATGTGTGCCTTACCATTACTCAACTTCTAGTACTGTAAATTAATTAATTTACTACAAGTGTTATTGAACTTCTCAGAAGACCGTGCTACTGACGTAAAATCAGAAGACTGTGTTTTCAGGTCATTACTGGAAACCATGAAGACAATGATAATGGTCCATAAGCATATATCAGAAATGGAAATTAAATAGTTATTTAACAGAAAGTGTACAATTGGTAAGAACTTCTTTTCCCCCCTCTAAATCAATACAAGTAACTACAGAAAATGTAAACCATTGTAACACAAAGAAAGGAAGAACAACCAAAAAACTCAGACTGTAGAAATAGCAAGAGAAATTTTTGCTCCTGGAACAAAGGTTCCACTAGTACTCGAATGATAATACATATTTCTCTCACTTTAAAATGTAAGTATGTTTTAAATATACATGTTTTAAATGTAAGTAAAGTTTTAAATTTGGAATACACAACTATGGACAAGCTGCTCCAAATGACAACTAAAACCACAGTATAGAAGTCCAACATAATTCTTGCCAAACTTCATGTCAAACACAAACATACTGTATACTAAAAATGTGCTGTTTGCGTATTGCATTGCATATCTTCTGATTAGCCCTCTGTAATATATGCGATATAAACCTAAAGGAATTGAAATACCATACAATATGTGTTAAAGGTACTAAAAAAAAGGGATTGATAGCAGTAATGAAAGCAGTTTATCTTTATTGAATACTGAACAAAGACTATGTATTTGCAGTGCACACTCTGAAATTTCCACTGCTCCATGTGGATGTTTTCCTTAAACCTGAACACATAGTTTATCCAAAATCCAATAATTATGTGCATATACATATATAGAAATACCTGCATCTTTTATATATTACTGCATTGTTCACATTTTCTCCTTTCTGAGTTATTGGAAGGGAAAACAAATTCCATATAAAAAGACAGGATCTACCAATGAATTATATTGTATTACTAACTGTGATAATTTTACTGCTTTCTAGAAAACTTAGCAATTCCTCTTCCTCAAGAACATCTCCATGTGAAGTCCAGGAGAAATAGACAATTTATTTATATACATTATTTACAAATATAAGACATACAAAGGGCCAGAGATGCAAGTTATTTTGCAGAAGTAATGGTTACTGGATTAAAAAAATTACATGAAAAAAAATGTTATACTGAAGTAAATATCCCACTAAATATAAATAAATATAAATTAACAGTTAAAAGAAATACAGTAAAATGAAATTACAGAACACTATTGTAAACTAGGGAAATTAATGTCAAAAAGCACAGACATGTCTTTCCATCTTACACTTATTCTCTTATCATTTATTGCACTAGCTCTAAAGATGCTTCCACATAAGGCAACAGGACAGAAAACTGATCATTATGTCAATGCACGGAAAATACATAGTTATAAAAGTACTCAGAAAACCTCTGGACTTCCACCCCTCATGAAAGAACCTGCCAGAGAAAGCTTTCATTTCTACTTTCCAGGTTCCACGTAACTACTGAGTTTTCAATTTTAATCACAATATATCTATCTTTTCTTACAAAAGGTATTCTTCATTCCTTCTTCATTTGTCAGGTATGTCTTTTGTTCCTTAAACAATAGCGTTTTGGTTGTCAATAAAGAGTTCCCATTTCTTTAAGTTACATACAAGCTGTAATCAAGAGACCAGCATATATGGAAGCCTCTACATCTTAAGAATTCTATACCAGTACGCAATAAGATCCATTCTTCTCTAGTAGAATGGAGGCATGCAGTTGAAAATCAACCAGAAATTTAAGCAGTTACTGCTACTCCATCTTGAATCTGCAACAGCTCTTGAACCTGTTTGTTCTGTGTAGCTCCTGCTGCAGTTAAGAGTTTTTAGAGTAACATACATATATCCAAACTGATTCTTCTCTATCTTTGTTGGAACAATACTGCTTCATATGTTATTCATACTTAAGACATAAAAAGGCATCTTTATATTCTATGGCAATGAATAGAAA